AGTGTATAGAACAAGGCAAGGAGGAGTATGGTAATTGGTGATAGAGTGGCATGAGTGTATGTTGCAAGTTACATGGGGCCTTGAGGACAGTAGTTAGAACTTTTAGAGATGAACTCATAGAGGGTTTTAAACCAAGTGTGTGTCTTCAGGGCAGGTATGGAAACAGGCCAGTCAGGTTGCTCTCTGTCTTGATGGAGCAGTGGTGGTACCTTGGTCTAGGTTAGTGGTGGGGACAGGCGGTCGGATCCCAGGTTCTTTTTGAAGTCAGGGCCAGTGGTTTCCCTAATGTGCTCTTCTTGGCATCTGAGAGAGGAGCCAGGGCTGCCCTGTGTGCCGGGCAAGGCCTGGTGCCTCCCCCTGAGAGGCTGTTAGGGGTGTGAGATGAGGCACTTAGCCTGCTCTTCCTGCAGTTGTGCTGTGTCTGAGTGTTTGAGCAGAGCTGCCACGCATGGGGCTGGAAGGAGAGCCAAGGTCTTCCCGCTGGGCCTTTGTCCTTCCCTGTTGGACCCTCTCTGTGGCATTTCTGAGCCACTTGTTACTACTGTCAAGGGAGCTATCACAAGCTCTAGGTTTTGGGTTAGCCTTTAGCATCTTATTTCCCCCTGATTATTGCTATGTTTTGTTATCCCAGTTCCCTTGTCCCCTGGGAGGTAGCAGCAGGTGACAGGTAAGCTGGGAAGTTTAGCTGGGCTGGGGCCAGCGGAGTCAGAGGGCCTTTGTCCTAAGAGCTCCTGCTGGAAACCAAGACCCAGAGATGGGAGAGGGAGCAGCTTTCCAGAGGCACAGCACAGTCAAGCCCGGCTTTCTCCTCCTCGTCTTCCTTGGACTGTGTAAGTAGTTTCTTCCTTTTCTGGAAGCCTCCTAGATCACATTTTCTAAAAACAGCTTTTTGAGGTGTAATTTTTTTCCCTTCGAATGTTTATTTATACTTGTTTGCAGTCACAATGATTATATTCAGCATTTGTTGACACATATATTTAATACCCTTAATTCTTTTTAGGTCCCCTTCCCTTTCCCTCACTCCCCTCTCCCCCCAACACCCCTTTTTTTCAGTTTTGTTTTTTTTTTAAAGTTTTTTTGACACATGGTCTCACTACGTAGTTGACACTGACCTGGAACTCTCTATGTAGCCCAGGCTGGTCTCGAACTCACAGCAATCCTCCTGCCTCTGCCTCCCAAGTGCTGGGATTATAGGCATGCGCCACCATGTCTGGCTCCCCCCATCTCTTAAGGCATAATTCTTATACCATCAAATTTGCCTCGCTAAACTGGACAATTTGATGATCTTTAGTAAATTTATGGAGTTGTGTAACCATCACTACCATCTAATTTTAGAACATTTCTGTCATCTCCAAAAGAAACTGTGTCTCTGTTTACAGTCACTGTCCATTCCCGCCCCAGTCCCAAGCAGTTGCTTGCTCGTCTATCTCAAAAGATTTGGCTATTTTGACATTTTATATATATATTTTTTTGACATTTTATGTTAATTCAGTCTTACAGTGTGTTTGCTTAGTTGATCAGTTTACTCATTTGAGTTTGTTATGGCCTACAGAAGTATTTTGTTACTTTGTGTTTCTCAGAAGCATTGCCTCCCAAGATGCTCCAGGTTTTGTTAGTTGATGGGCATTTGAGTTTCCTCTTTGTGGCTATTGTGAAATTTATGTGGGATAATTTTATGTGGACATAGGTTCTTCTTTGAGGTTAGGTGCTTGGGAGGGGGTTGCAGGGCCTTGAGGTTGTCTTTGTCACATGGGAGGGTTTGCTGAGCTGTGGCTGGAGATGGCCGCCCATTGTCCATCTTCACCAGTGGTGCTGAGGCTCCTGCTTCTCTACATCCTTGTCAGATTGGGTGTTATTGTCTATCTGCTTATAGGGTAGTTCCTATTTTGGGAGAGTGGTTTGAGACAGGGTCTCACTATGTAGTTGAGACTGACCTGGAACTCACTGTGTAGCCGAGGCTGGTCTCAACTCAGCGATCCTCCTGCCTCAGCCTCCCAAGTGCTGGGATTACAGGCATGAGCCACCACACCCAGCAGCAGACACTTTTTCAGTAGAGGATGAGGAAAGCTGGCAATTTAGTGTAAGACTGTGACCTGGCAAAAAGCTCCAATCTTTAGGGGAAGGTGGGAGAGGAGGTGCTGTCTCAGAAGGGCCGAGGCTGGACAGTACACGCGGGCAGGGAGCAACTGAAGGAGGGCATGGAATGGGCGTCTTCCCGGCATGCACTTTCTTACAGAAGGCAGTCTTTTCCTAGTTGTAGCTAACCACAACTTCCCTTTGCAACATACTGGTCTCTTAGGAGGGATACACATTAATTTCTTTTTTCTTTTGCTGTTTTCTTCAGTTCCTTAATCCTATTGGGTTTCCTCTGTTTCGTACATGTTATTAAAGAAAAAATAACATTACCCATAAAACTGTCTGCCATTGATGATGAGATGCATCATGACTTCAGAGGTGGTAGAATAGAGATGGTAGAATCTTCCCCTTTCTTTACTGAACTCATTCATCAGCTGAAAAGTTTTGGTAATTCAAAAAGTGCTGCAAAATAGTGTATTGCCACGCTCCATTCTGACACTGTGTTCATAACTCTACTTTTAAAAGCTGAGTGTGGTGGTGCACACATGTAATACCAACTACTCAGGAGGCTGAGGCAAGAGCAGCAAATGTTCAAGAGCAGCCTGGGCAATTTAAGGAAATCTCAGAATAAAAAGGAGTGGCGTATAACTCAGTGCTAGAGCATGTCCTTACCATAACCAAGGCCCTGGGCTTGATCACCAGCACCAAAAGAAAGATGTGTTCATGATATTTGTTTATTGAACAGGTTGTTGTGCTGTATTTCAGTAATGTGTGTGTATTTTCTCAGGTCCAGGGCATCATGGGAGTTCTATGTTTGTGTGTTATGTGTGAAGTCAGCTGGATTGTATTGTGTGCACCTTGTGCGAGGTACACTTTGGGCAACAGGAAATGCAAGATTCAATGGCAAGTTGCCTGGAAGGCATAGTCTCATAAGGGGAGGGAAACTTATGTGAAGAAGGTAGGGAAGTTACTGGATCACTGAGGAAGGAGCCTACTGTAGCCTCCCTAGAGAGAGGAGGGGAAGCTGGGTTGTGCAGAGGTGAGAGCTGGGAGCCGACTTTTGAAGAGAGAAATAGGAGTTTGTGGGAAAACAGGAAGCGGGTTTGAGTAGAGGGAAGGTGGCAGTGTGAGAGCTCCCTGAGCACCTAGGGGTCAGTGGTTGAAGGAAATGGGCCTGGAAGGCTGGGAGTCTAGTTTGTCCTAGTGTTTCGATTCTCTTTGAGTGCATTCTGGAAGTCCAGGGTTCATGAGGTCCTCTTCACATGAATGTCATTGCATTAGATGCAAGAGGAAAGAAGCCTCTTTGCTGTTGAGGTACCAGAGAGAATGTTTTGGGAAGGCTGCTGTCATGGCTTGGGGAGCCCTGAGCATTGTAAGCAAGAGAACGACTTAATTTACATTTAGAAAATGACCCAGCACTTGTGGAGGCTAGGTTGGTGTGAGGGGAAGTTTGTCAGCAGGAGGAAACCGGTTCAAAATTGTTAGCATAAAATCTGACCATCAGTAGTAACATATTTAATTTCAAAATGTAGGCATTTAGGACATTCCTAACAAAAGAATTTAACAACTAAAATTACATTTAGTCTACAGTAGAGATTTTAAGGGTGAAGAGAGTGTTGGAACACATGAAAGTTTTTGTTTTCTCATTTTTGATAAAATATTAAATAGAAATACTTCATAATACTTTCTTATTAAAGAACATCTTTGGTTTAAATTGTAATTTATGGATATTGTATTTTAAAAGTTTTCTGGGCCAAAGAATGCTCAGTGGTGCCACCGCCTGGCGCAAGTTCCCAAGTTCGATCCCGTACCATAGATTTCGATCCCCAGTACCATAGATAGATAGATAGATAGATAGATAGATAGATAGATAGATAGATTTTCCAATGTAATGTCGTAAAATCTTCAAACTGATAGATTTTTTTGTTTGTTTTGTTTGTTATTTTGGTACAGGGGATCAAACCCATGGGCATCCTGATAATTGAGCTACATTCCTAGCTCCATTATCATCATTATTTAAAATTTTGTAACAGAGTCTCAAATTGCCCAGGTGGGACTTGAACTTGGGATCCTCCTGCCGTAGCCTTCCAGGTACTTGGATAATAGGCGTGCATTGTCCCATCTCTTATCTTTTTGTTGTTGTTGTTACTGGGGATCGAAGGTGTCTTTTTTTTTTTTTTGCAGTGCCAGGGATCAAACTTGAGACCTTGTGCTTGCAAGACAGGCATGGCACTATTGAGCTAAAGCCCCAGCCCACTGGTATGATTCTTTTAGTCATAGAAAGGGCTTGTGTACACTGATGTTATTAAAGGGAATTAACCTAGGTTTTATTCTAGAATTTGGGGGGAGTTATGATTTTTATCCAAATATTTGATCTTTTAGGAACTTCTGCTAGTGTAAGATGTATGTCATGAATCTAGTTCTTTTTTTTTTTTCCTAGATGAGTGTTTTAGTTGCTCAAACATCATTCATTATGTAGTCCTTTTCCTTCCTTGATTTTTTTTTTTTTTTGTACTGGGGATTGAACTCAGGACCTTGTGCTTATGAAGCAGGCAGGCAGTGGAACCACTGATCTAAATCCTTGTCCCCTCCTTCCTTGATTTTGAGGTGCCTCTTCTGTCATTGCTCGTCTTTGGGTGGAATTGGCTGTGGTTATGGGACATCAGTTTGCCTGTTGCTATGTCTGTCACTGTGCTATGGTTTTGAGTCTGCACAGTGTCTGTTGTGCTGGTTCTTTTCAAACACTCCTCTGAGGATTTTTCCTGTCCTTTCTTTCGCAAGTTTAGAATCAGCTTATCTATTTCTGGAAACTAATTCTGTAGGGGTTTGGGAAGGGAAATGTTGGAGGGATCAACCTTGAATTTGTAGGTGAATCTTTTCACAATAACAAATCTAAATTTTAGTTTTAATCTTTTCTCTTATAGATGATATTAACCGTGTTCTTGAGCAACAATGAACAGATTTTAACAGAGGTTCCTATAACACCGGAAACAACCTGTCGAGATGTTGTTGAGTTTTGCAAGGAACCTGGAGAAAGCGGTTGCCATTTAGCTGAAGTGTGGAGGGGAAATGGTATGTATGAGTCTGTGAAGATGACTAAGTATGTATAATTCACCACTTGGAAAATGCTGCTTCTGACTCTGGTAATCAGTGGTCATAAGGAATTGAGTAATTGCAGTAACAGATGATTGCATCACGGGGATGGGGTTCTACACAATGGTATCTGTAAGAAAGTATTGACCACCTCACATGAGGCCTTTAGCACCACCAAGGTGTGTGGCCTTTGCATATACATAGAAGAAAGTTTGTGAAGATTTTAAATAGGGTATGACATTCTGAACATACCGCTTAGAGGAAGTACGCCTGGGAATAGTGCGGCATTAAGGGTGGTCTGAGTTTGACAGTAAGGAATGATCCGCTGGAACGTGTTGAGTTTGAGGTGATAATAAGATAGGTATCCAAATATGTATCCAAGTGGAGGTGTCGAAAGGATGCTTAGAGCTGAGTCTTTGGGCTTTTTTCAAAAAATTTATTGGAAAAAAAAATTTATTGAGATAAAAATTTGCATCCATACAAATTTGTCCAAAATGTGTAATTCAGTGACCTCATTATACCCAGGTATTGTCAAGTATCACCACAATAAATTCTAGACCATTTTCCTTACCCCAGAAACTCCATATGCATTAGTGGCAACCCCACTTTCTCTTCATCCGTAGGTAACCATTAATCTATTTTGGGTTTGCCTGTTGCAGACATATTGAGTGAATGGAATCATACAATATGTAGTCCTCTGGACTGGCTGTTGCTGCTTATTTTTTATTTTTTTAGCAACAAGGTCTCATTGTGTAGTTCCAGCTGACCTCAAACGCACTATGTAGCCTAGGATGGCCTTGAATTTGCAGCGATCCTCTGTCTCCACCTCCCAAGGACTGGGGTAATTGGTGTGTGCCACCACACCTGACTTGGCTTCTTTTTCTTTTTTTACAGTACCAGAGTTCCAGTTCAGGACCTTGTGCTTGTGAGACAGGCACGGCACCACTGAGCTAAATCTCTGGCCCATTTTTTCTTTTTGGGGATGTGGGGAGGTGTTGGCTTCTTTTTCTTACTGTAATGTAATGTTTTTGAAGTTCATTTATCTTGAACTTAGATTTATTAGTAGTTCATTCCTTTTTGTTTCTGGTACTATTCTGTTGTATGAGTGTACTACTGTTATCCATTCATCAATTGGGCAGTTAGTAATGGACATTGAAGTTGTTTACATTTTTGGCTATCGTTCATGATGCTGCTATGAACTCTCATATACAAGTTTTTGTGTGGATGTGTATTTTCCTGTCTCTCAGCTATATTCCTAGGAGTAAGAATTTCTGGATCATGTGGTGATTCTGTGTTTACACTTTTGAGGGTCTGCCAGACTGTTTTCCAAGAAGTTGGCCCATCTTATGTTCCCAGTGACAGTGTGTGAGGGTTCCAGTTTCTCCATGTTCTTGTCAACACCTGATGTTGTCTGTTGGCTTTCAGTCATCCTGCTGGGTGTGAAATGACATTTCAATGTGGTTTTGGTTTTTATTTCCCTAGTGACTAATGATGCTGATTGAAGTTCTTTTCACCTGGTTATTTGTATATCTTCCTAGACAAAGATCTATTCACATCCTTGGCCCTCTTAATTAATAAATTATTTGGGTTTTTTTTGTTGTTGTATTGTAAGAGTTCTTTATGTGTCCTGGGTATCAGTCCCTTATCAGGTATATGACTTGCAAATATTTTTTCACAAAGTCCCTTGCTTTTATGTTACCTTAAAAGTCAGAGTAAAGTCTTTAGGGGTACACTGAATAAAACAACTTTGATAAATATTAGATTCTTACTAAACTATCAATAAGAGGACAGGCATCAGTTTTCAGTCTGCCAATAGCTACAGGAAGGGAGGTAGTTCGTCAATGTAATTAATGTTTTCTGGGGGACCAGTACAGAACTTGATCTTTCCATTATTCTTCTTTAGACTCTAAGCATTTTTACTCTTTGTTATTTTTAATTCCTTATCTGCTTCCTCCTCCTCTTTTATTGAGCTTGGATGGCAGTACAATTTTTGTATAAAGTGTTGTGTTTTTTGGTACTGGGATTGAATGCAGGACCTTACAGTTGTGAGGCAGGAGCAGCACCAGTGAGCTACATCACTGGCCCTGTGTTTTTTTGAGATAAGATCTCACTCTGCAGTTCTGGCCTTGAACTTGCAACGATCCTCCTGCCTTGGCCTGTTGGGTGCTGAGATTTTACGTGTGTACCGCCACACCTGAAAGTAACTTTAGTGTGAATATTGTAGCCCTACACAGTCCATGGCCACTTATGAGTGAATGCTTATCTACCTGATGCAAGTCCTTGGGTTGGTGCCATTTTTTCTTTTCAGTTTTTTTTCTTTTTGTAATACTAGGGATTGAACCCAAGGCCTTTGCACTGATCTACATCTCTGGCCTCTTTTTAATTGTTTATTTTGAGACAGGGTCTCACTAAGTTGCTGTTACTCAGATTAGGCTCAAACTTGTGACCCTCTTGCCTAGCCTCCCCTAGTGTTAGGGTTCACCATGCCTGGCTTGAAATTCCTTTCTTTCATGTTAAGCTTGTGATTGTTTTTTTCTGTACTGTAATTCAGTTCTGAGTTGAATGAGCTAAGCACACCTGGATTTTACTTTCAACAAAGATAAGGCCGTTGCTTTCCTTGCCATTAGTCTTTATTCAGTAAGATGGAGCTTGGCTGCAGTCCACACTACCATGTGTGTTGCATTTCTGTAAGTGGAGGATTTTCTTTATGGAAATGTAGAACTTAGCGAGGAGCAGAGCAGTAAGTCATACCTTGAAAGTGTGAATAGACTACAGGTCACAGTTTTCTTTATTGTCTCAACATCAAGTTCTCAGACTGAGCCAAAGATCTGGTGTAAGTCTCTCACCGGCCATAAACTTGTGTTAAGAGGAAGAAAAACATTTGTTCTGCAGCAGTGCCAGGTGGTTTCCTAACCCTTAGACTTGCTGGTATGCTTCCTCATTTTCTTTAAATTGGGAAAAAGTCACAGTGTCGGAATCACCATGTTGAAGTTTGCTGTTCAGTGGTTGGTGGTGCAGTCACCATGCTGTCTGTGCGTCTCTCCTTCCCAGTCCCTGATGGCCACTGTCCAGTACACCACTGGCTGTGTGCCTGTTACCATCCTAGTGGGATCATGCAGTGTGGCATTTTTTGTCTAACTCCTCTCACTTAGCATGTTTTTTTGGGTTCTTCCACTTTGTAGCGTGTATCATTCTTCATTCTTTTATGGCTGGATCATGGTCTGTTGTATATCACATTTTGTTTATCCATTTGTAATGGCGTGGTAGATCTGACAGACAGAGCCCAAGCTCTTGTGTATGGCGGGCGAAGAATTGCAGAGTGTACGCTGGTGGTGAGAGAAAAGCAGCTACATTTATTGAAGGTCACAAACAGAAAAATGGTGCTAGGATGAGATAGGAAAAAGGGCTCAAAAAGGAAAAGGCCATATGTGCTTTGGATGGGGTTATAGGAATGGTCCTAGGGTGTACTCAGGCTCAGGTTGGAGAAAGATTTCGTGCAGGGCTGCAAAAGTATATCTGTTAGATATCTTGAATTTGATAACTGCATTATAGTTATATAAGAGAATTTCCTTCAGAAAATACACCATGAATTATTAAGGGATAAGGAAGCGCATAACATATAAAACCTGTCACATGGTTCATATCATGTGTGTAAGTGTATGTTGTAGCTAAAGTGGCACTTGGAGTAAATTTATTGCTAAAATCCTTTTTTTTTTTTTTTTTTTTTTTGGTACTGGGGGTCGAACTCAGGTCCTTGCACTTGCAAGGCAGGCGGCAGAACCGCTGAGCTAAATCCCTGGCCCTAAAATCCACTTTTTAAAAGAATAAAGTACTCAAGTCAAGCTAGAAAAGAAAATAAAAAGAATGGAAGGAAGGAAATAAATACTAAAGCGGAAGTGAAAGAAATGCGAGAATCAATGAAACCAAAGATATTTACTTGAAATAATTTTTTTAAAAATAGACTAAATAAATATTCAAGGTTAAGTAGAAAAAAGGCACAGATAAGAGAAAAGGGCCAAATTATAGGGATACTAGAATTTTAGAAACTGATACTCTGAGTAACTTCTCAGTAAATTGTAGGGCCAGGGATTTAGCTCAGTGGCACCACACCTGCCTCACAAGCCTGAGATCCTGAGTTCAATCCCCAGTTCTGATGGAAAAAAAAAGAAAGACGTATAAGTTAGATGAAAGATGAATGAAAATTACCGAGATTCATTAGCAAACATTTATTAGATGCTTACTCTGTGTCAGGCAGGGAATTTGGTCCTTGGGGGTATATTAGTCAACTAAGGAGTAAGATTTGTGTCCTGTGGAACTTACGTTCTAGCAGGGAGATACAGAGGGGCAAGTGATAAATGAACTGTGAAGTGTGATGGTAAGTGGTACATCTTTTGAAAAGAAAATAGATCAAGAATATTGCCTTTGCTCAGAATGAGAAAAGAACGAAGAAACTTAGACCTATAAAATGAATTGAAGGGCCGGGGATCTAGCTCAGCGGCTCCGCTGCCTGCCTTGAAAATACAAGGTTCCAAGTTTGAGCCCTAGTAACCACCCCCAAATTTGAATATGTGGTACTTCTTGCCCTCAAGGACTCCCGATTCAAACGTTTTATATGCAGTTTTTACAACACCTTCAAGAATAATCACTACATTATATATAAATTTTCTCAGAGAATAGAAAAAAGAGATAACTACTAAATTCATTATGAGGTCAGTATAATTTCTGCCTCAAAACTGAACAAGAATATGAGAAAAGCCTAGTGGCACACTTGAGAAACTGCAGCAGGAGGATCCCAAGTTGGAGGCCAGCCTGGACTACATAATGAAACCCTGTCTTTTAAAAAAAGCACAAAAAAAGTGTAGGCCAACCTTACTTTTGAATATAAATATAAAAATCCTAAATAAAATACCAGCAAACCCATTTTAGCAGCATATTGGAAAAGCAAGTCAGTTCCTAGAATTCAGAGTTCCAAGTCAAATCTTTTAATAGGCTGCTTTAGAGCAAAGAGCATCTTTATCATTTGAGTATAATATAACTGAAAGTTTTTCATAATAATAATTACTAGCAAACTTCCATATCAAGGAGTTTCCTTAAATAAATGAGTGCTTTTAAAAACCTTCAGCAGAACTCACTTGGTGTGAACTATGGAAGCATATGGATTAAAGGCAGGAAAGAAGACGAAGCATGATCAGTTTCTGTTCGACATTGTGCTTCACGGTTCTAACCAGCACAGCAAGATAAGGAAAAGGAGTAAGAAATTGGAAAGGAAGAGCTGAAACCATCCATCGTCATTTGACATTATTTTTGTCTTTATAAAAATCCTATAGATAGCTAGATGTGTGGTGGTACACACCTATAGTCCCAGCACATTGGAAGGCTGAGGCAGGAGGGGTACAAGTGTAAGCTCACTCAACTGAGTGACTTAGTGAAACCCTGTCTGAAAAAGAAAAAAAGAATGGGATGTAGCCCAGTGCAGAGGCCCTGGGTTCAATCCCAGTACCACAAACAAAACAAAAAAAACAAAACCTATAGATAGGAGCTTAGGGGTAGTTTAGTGGTAGATTTCTTGCTTAACATTTCTGGGTTCCATCCCCAGCACCACACACACACAGACTTGCAGATGAACTCCTTATAAAGCTTAACAGGTCATGTTCCAAGTATAGGGATACACTAGTAATCATCAGTGGGAAATTTATAGTAAATAACAATTTAAAAAACTAAAGGATAAGCAATATATGCATGGAGTATCATATTATGCTGGGGATAAGAAAGTTCTCAACAATAAAAGGTCAAGGGTGTCACAGAGGAACACAGGAACTAACATGGAAGAGCTGAGCTGCCAGTGGCTAAACTGGAACAGATTGAGCAGCAGGGTGGCATAGAAATACTTATATGAGTTCCTGTACAGCGGGAAGGAACAAATCTTGCTAGCAGAAGAACTTGGAAGAACATGTGTGGAAACACCCTTCAGGAGGGAGAGCATCCCCATCCCCACATGGGGCTGGGGTTAGTAACTTGCTTCCCAAGAAGAGAAAAGAGAAGAGGACGATATAACTTCCTGGAGGAGAGGCTTGGCACAGTCTGCACTGCATGCAGTAGGGTTGGCACCACCAGGGTGGTCAGGATGGTGTGGGTGTCGTGGGGTACAGTGAGGGATGAAAGGACCTCACCTCCGGGGCCCTTCCTGACAGACCCAAATAAGCTGTCATGGTCATAGAAACAAGGAATAAAAAACTATTATAGGCCAGAGGAGAGCAGGGAGATAGGACAGAATGCAGTGCAGTGTGGTTTTCCTAGTTCAGATCCTGGAACACAAAGGGGACATTAGTGAAAATAATGTGACATTCACATGAAGCTTGGTGTTTAATTAACAGTGGCATACCAGTGTAAATTGTTTAGTTTTGATAAAAATACTGTTTCTGGCCAGGCATGGCAATATATGCCTGTAATCCCAGCACTTGGGAGGCTGAGCCATAGTTTGAGGCCAGCCTGGGGTACACAGTGAGTTCAAGGCCAGCTTGGACTACATAGCAAGACCCTGTCTCAAAACACACACACACACACATATGTAGAATATTAGTGTTAAGGGAAAGTTGGCGTAGAATATAAAGGAATTTTCTATGCTGTCTGGGCAACCTTCTATCTAAAGTTATTGCAAAATAATTTTTTTAAAGATTATGCATGTGAAACCCCAAATCTACAAAGTTCAGAGAAATGAATTACTATGTACAGACCTTATGAAACCTCAAAACATCAATGTAGAACACAAGGTGAAACAAATGGGAAAAAATGAAAAAAAATGGAAGCGAATGATATTCATGGCCTGAAAAACTCAGAATCACAAAGATATCAGGTCCCCCTATATTTACTGATAAATTATGGTTTTGGTCAAAATTCTACCTTTGAAAAAAGATGCTGATAAGCTGTCCCTACCCTACATATAGAAAGAGCAAAGTGTTAGGAAATATCAAGACACTTTGGTAACTAAGGCTTTTGAGAGACTTCCTGGACAGCAGTGATTAGGACTGTAACTGTTAGCATGGGGAGTGACTGAGAGTCAACAGAGTAAGACGTGGCTCAGAAAAACCCTGTACAGCTGGAGCCCTGACCTGTTTTAATGTGTCTTTTTTTTTTTTTTTTTTTTTTTTTTTTTTTTTTTTTGGTATGGGGATTGAACTCAGGCCTTTGTGCCTATGAGGCAGGTGGCAGAACCTCTGAGCCAAATCCCTGGCCCTCTCTGATCTGTATTAGAGGGAGCTACTGTGTGTCTGGAGAAAGGATAAACCGGTCCATAAGTGGTGCTGGGACAGTTGATTGTTCAAGCAGGGACAAATAAAATCAGATCCTTATTCCATAAATAGAAATAAATCCCCTAAGGTCACTGAACAGCAAAACTTTAAAATTTGTAGAACAAAAGGATACTTTTCTTTTGACCCTAGAATACAGAAGTATTAATTGTACAAAAAACTCAAACTAGCCACTAACCTATAGTCCCAGTCCCACTACTGGGGAGGTACCCTGAGGCAAGATGATTGCTTGAGCCCTGGAGTTTAAGACCATCTTAGGCACCATAGTGAGGCCTTGTCTCAGAAAACAAAATCAATAGACAAAAAACTGAAATTGGAGAAGATTGATAACTGCTTACATTTAAAATTTTAAACTATTGTACAAAAAATGGTACCAAGAAATTTAAATCACAAGTTTGTGGTCAGTGTATGTAGCTGATCGAGGATTACTATCTAGAATATGAAGAACTGCAAACAACTAAAGAAGAGGTAAATAATGCAGGTTTTTTTGTTGGTTTCTTTGTTTGTTTTTGGTTTTTGGGTTTTTTTTGGTACCAGGAATTGAACTCAGGTCCTTGAGCTTGTGAGGCAGTCGCCAGAACCACTGAGCTAAATCCCCAGCCCTGTTTGTTTGTTTTTGAGACAGGGTCTCACTATGTAGTTCAGATTGCTGTGGAACTCACTGTGTAGCCCAGACTGGTCTCAGACTCACAGCGATGATCCTCTTGCCTCAGCCTCCCAAGTACTGGGATTACAGGTGTCGGCCACCATGCCCAGCAATAATGCAGACTTTAAAACTGGCTCATAGCGCCTGACACAGTTCACCGACAAGGGAAGTGGAATACAGTATAAATATTTCAACAGCTGTGCCAGGGTTCTTCTCAAGTGATTGGTAAAGAGACTCTGTTAGTGCTCTTGGCTTTAATAATACTTGAATCTATGGAAGTTTTCATTAAAATTTTTCATTTCTTATTATTGACTTGGTAAACTTTGGTGTGTCCAAGTACAGGCAGACATTCACGGTAGTATTTCCTGAACTTCCTGGAAGAGCTCTGGTCAGCCTTTCAAACCTGATTGCCATGTGTGATGTGGTGCAGCCAGTTTGTTTTCTTTCTTTGCATAATGGAAACACATTACTCTGTGATATTTTCATATGGTAAAAGGCATGTTTTCATTGTTTACTATAACATGTTGCAAATTTATGTGTACTTTGTATTTGTATGTTGCCTAATTATTTCCCATTTCTATTTTGGCTTTTATTCATTGAAATTAAAATTCAGTGCTTAGGATGTCCTTGAATTCTAATATGTACTTATATGTGTGTGCTTGTGTACATCTGTCTGCATCTGTTTTTGCTTTTGGCTGGGGTTGCATTGTTTCTGAGTGTGTAAGGTGTGGTCTTTTCCTAGAGCGCCCCATACCCTTTGACCACATGATGTACGAGCACCTGCAGAAGTGGGGGCCTCGCCGGGAAGAAGTGAAGTTTTTTCTTCGACATGAAGACTCCCCGACTGAGAGCAATGAACAAGGTAGACAGATGTTTTATCATTCGTAAATGATTGCTATACCAGTTAACTTAAGAAAAATTAGAATATATGCCAGAGTGAATTATTCACACTTTTTCCCCCTTCATACACAAGTGGTTTTTAAGGTGCTTCATGGCTCTTTGACTCTGTGGTTTGGGTTCTGTTCCTGGTTTGTAATATATATATACATAAATCTTAATATCTTGGGAAAAGGGATTTTTTATGACTTTTTCCTAAAATTTAGAGGTGTTAGGAGCACTTAGAATGCCCTGAGTGATAAGGCAGATGACAGCCTTTGTAACTTTGGTGGCATTGCTCAGTCTGGTGGTGACAACAGCGAGTGTGTGAGCAGTGTGAGCCAGCTGCATGCCCAAGGTCAGGCAGTGAGAAAGGTGGCTGGGGACATAGGCCTTGTGTGTGCTGGAGGGAGAGGCTGCTGTGAGCTAGTGGGGTTGGGTGTGGGACATGGAGCTGAGCGAGGCATGAGTGATGGCACCAGATTCCCACTGCACACCCTCTGAATACTAAACAAGGCGTCTGCTCCTCTGTCACTCTTGAGATTGGCTTCAGTGGCATTTGTAACGTGACATCCCATGTCCCCACCTGGCTGCCTTCCCTTCTCACCGACTCGATTTCAGTTCATTCCCTGCTCTGTCCTACATGAATCCTGTCATGCTGTGCCCCACCCTTGGCTTCATGCCTTGGCCTGGGTGATGTGCCTCCTGCCCCTCTCAGCTGGAGGGCAGCTGGCAGAGAGCACAGCTCACTTACATGTTGCACCACTTAACGTTCCAAGGCCTGAGCAGAACCAGCACTCACTCTTATCCTGGAAGGTAAGGTGGTCTTCACTGGATGGTAAAATGGAGAGCACATGTGGGTGTTCACTGTGCACAACTGCAGGTTCAGCAAGAAGAGACCTTCCTCACAGTATGGGCGGGGACTGAGGACGGTCACCGCCTCAGTACACCCAAGAAACTGGCGCTTGTAACAGTGACGGTTCCTGGCAAGGGTCCTCCAGCCAGCAGACCCAGAGCATCACCAGAGCCAGGGAAGTGCATGGTGGGTTAGTGAGGCTCGTGCACACCCTTGAGGGCTTGGCTGAGAGCTAGGGGATGCGTTTTGTGGCACGCTGGAGGGCTGGCAGTATAGCCCAGTGCTCCCGAGTGTGTCATTCATTATTTCCCAACTAGGAGTCCAAGGTTACCAGGTCTCTTTTTAAGATTTAAATTGGCACTTGGTATAAGTTTCATGGGTTTATAGTGTTCTAATTTTTTAATAGATTGCTCTTTATAAGAGGTAGCAATAGGATAATATTAAATTAGCTTGAGTATCTTGTTCCTTGTTTAAGTTACCTGTAAACTATGAGAGGTATAGGACTCATAATCTCTTGTCGTTTCTGGCTCCCTAAGGAGGCTTTTTTGGATGCTGTTCTCACTTGGCCCCCAGCTCACATTGGGTCCAGGCCCTGGATGTCGTGTCCAGAGCAGCTCTGGGTTGTCCTGCATGGCACCACTGAAGCCAGGCAGGCTGGGACGGGGCAGGCCTTGGCGCTCAGGGGTGTGTGTGTGTGTGTGTGTGTGTGTGTGTGTCCTGCGTTCTTGTTCAAAGAATGTGATGGGGCACCCAGTTAATGAAGATCAGGTTTTTTGCTTTCTTTTTTTTTTTCATTGCTTGATAATAAATTTACTTTAATCTTCTGAAATATAAAACCTTTTTTGTTTTGTTTTGTTTTTTTGGTACTGGGGCTTGAACTTGGGCCCTTGTGCTTGCAAGGCAAGCAGCAGAACCACTGAGCCAAATCCCCAGCCCAAAAGCTTTTTGAAAAACAAATCAAACTTTTAAAATGTATATAACAAGATTTACCATCTTTGCCGTTTTAAATGTTAAAAGCCTTTTGATAAGTCAGTTTCAAGATTCTGAGACAGATGCCAAGCATGGTGGTGCATGCCCATATCCCAGCACTGTGGGAGGCTGAGGCAGGAGGATCACAAATTCACCAGCCTGGGCAACTTAGCAAAACCCTGCCTTTATTTATTTATTTATTATTTGTTTGCTTGTTTATTTATTGTTTATTTATTTATTGGTACCAGGAATCAAACTCTGGACCTTGTACTTTGTTTTTTAAATTTATTTTTGTTTTTGTTTTTATTTTTTGGTACTGGGGATCGAACTTAGGTACTTGTGCTTGCAAGGCAGGCGCTGGAACCACTGCACTAAATCCCTGGCCCTGGACCTTGCACTTTGAAGGCAGGCAACAGAACCACTGAGCTAAGTCCCCGACCCTAAATCTTGAATTTCTTAACCTAACATTTTACACTGTGTTCAGTAAATATTTGAATGAAAATATGGGAGAATTGTTTTTTCTATTAGCACTTTTAGTAACTTTGGTCCTTTTGTTTCTTTAGGTGGCCGCCAGACCCAAGAGCAAAGAACTCAGAGAAATATAATAAATGTACCTGTGGAAAAACGTACTGAAAATGGGGTAAGTCATGGTGAATTAAATTGAATTTTTAAAAGTGCTTTTACAGGAGCTAGTAGGTTATTTGCTATTGTGCTAGGGCTTGAACCCCCAAGCCTTGTGCCTGGTAGACAATCATTACCACTGTGCTCCATCTCCAGCCCTGGGAACTAAGGAGTTTTGGGTTACTTATTTTCAAAGTATTATTTTGAGGTAGATGTTGTCTTTCTAATAATGAGTATTTCAAAACAAGTTATGAAGTTATAGAAAGCAGCCCTGAGTGTTTGCCGGTCCACACTGCAGTCCATGAGCAGGTTGAGTGTCTGAGCTGGATTGTCCCCCTGCTCCACATGTGCCTGTCCTGCAGTGGGGACCCAGAGTCCTGTCTTCGTGACATTGCAATCGTCTGCTGGTATGAAGTTTTCTGAGCACCCGACTGTCCCAAGAAGCCTCCTTGTCTCCTCCGTCACTGTCGCAGAGCTGGCCAGGAGGCCAGGCAATGGTTACAGTGGGGAAGAGGGTAGAGGGCTTCTTCCCAGGGAATGCTGATGTGCGTGGACAGAGTGAGGAGAGTGTATAGAGAAGTTTGCAACTTGGTCTTTTCTGGAAATTTTAGTCATAACTTTTCCAAATAATTTTGAGACTAGAGAATCGAGTGATCTATTTCTCTCACTCTGCCACCAATTAGGTATATAGTTGGGCATGGTTCTTCCCAGTCCATTGTGTAGCCAGGGAGATGCTCATATGCTCATAGGCTTCACAGCTGTCTCACTCACTCACTGTACTTTAGCAAGTCCTGAACTGTATTTTAATTTGTCAGCTGCCTGTGTGACTAAATGATTGAGGACCCTTTTTCCAAAATGCTTGGAACCAGAAGTGTTTCCGATTGTGGAATATTTGTAGACCTTATTGGTCAAGCACCGCCAGTCGAGAAATCAGGTTAAAGCTCAGTTTTGGGTTTTGGATTAGGAACATTTAACCAGTACCTAAGTCTGTGTTTCTTGTACTATTGACTTTAAGCAGAGTCTCTGTCCTTCCTCTTTGTAATACAGGATATTGGTCCTTCACCTCTTTCTCCATCTTCCTACTTTCCAGCTTTTTCATTTGTAGCAGACTTGTACGTTGTGAAGGTTGACAGTGTTTGTGTGCTGTTGTCTATCACCAAGCTTTTATACTTCGTCTACAGATTGTCAGTGAGTAGTTATTTCAGATTTTGCAGGTATCCACTGCAGAGCCATGTGGTATACATGACTATATTTTCTTCTCTTTGGTTTCAGTGTCATCATCCCTGTGCCACTTGGAGAGAAATATTCCTGATGTCAAGATTATAAATTCTTGGGCCAGGGGTTTGACTCAGTGGTTCCACTGCCTGCCTCACAAGTGCAAGGGCCAGAGTTTGATCCCTGATACCAAAAAATAAAGATTATAAATTCTCCTTTATATTCCATTTTTTAAAGATCACTGCACAAATCCTAATCTCATTCCTGCCTTCTAAATATTTGTCCCCTACAGATCTAGAGCCCTCTAGGATAGATGCTAGGCTTATCTGCTTCAGGAAGTCTTAAGAGTAGGACATTGGTGGAGACTGACTCAGTACATAGGGTGGTGTCTGGCGTAGGCCCTGTGTGACTGTGTTGCCTGCCAGCTTTGGAAACCCCAGGTTACAGACACACACTAGAGTGAGCTTTCAGAACTTACCTGCCCAGCAACATTTGGGAGATCCTTTTAAGTTCAGAGATGTAGCATATCCTGGTCTTCTGAGACAGTGGCAGAAATATGTTGGCTAGCAGGTGTCAACCTGGGGTTGTGTTCATATGCCTCACAAGGAGAGGACTCTCATGGTGTCAGAGAGGAGAAGGCTGGTTTGGGTGTGATGGGCTGTGATCTTTTCTTAGTTGAAGTTGTTTCTTGTTAACCTAGAGATAATGTGTACATTTTAAGAGCAACAAAACTAAAACCTGAAGACCAAGTTAGAAATGTGTTTGTACCCTTTGTGTTGAGTTATAATTACAGGAAGGTATGGGGCCTCATCTAGAGGAATAACTTGTGCTGAGAGCACCACATCAAAGGTTGCTGTGTTTTATGGAATGCACACCTGCCTTTTAAGCCTAATAATGCCTTGTAAAGCACTCTATTATCTGCACAGCATATTTATGTGCATGTTAAGTTATTAAAATGTTAAAAACATCTTTCTCTAAGGTTTTTGTTTATGTCCTGGATGTAGAATAATGGTTCACTAAGCTTTCTACTTTTTGGATTGAGACAGCTAAGAAAAGATCAAGCAGCAGCTCTGAGAAGGGAGGTGTGTGGGTTGGAAGAGAAGGGCAAGATGCTGAGTTGTGTGATTCATGCCCATTAGGAGCTGCTGAGGCAAGAAGCTGGGGACGTTCTGCTCTCTGAAAATCGCAGGTCAACAAGTGAGGCTGATCTGCAGGGTAGTTTAACTTGGTGCTGCATAGACACAGTAGTTTTTCTCATTCTGTATTCCCAAGACTACCCTCGGATTCTGTGATTTGCTAGGAGGACTCACAGGTATCATTTATATAGTCAGAGGACAGAGCAAAGGGAAAAGTCACATTTTGCTTATGTGTCCTGGAGACATTTGTCCTGGGTTTTGTTTGTTTGTTTGTTTTTGAGACAACGTGTTGCCACATAGTTCAGGCTGGTCTTGAACTCACTATGTAGCCCAGGTTGGCCTCAAACTCATGATAGTCCTCCTGTCTCAGCCTCTCCAGTGCTGGGAGTACAGGTGTGTGCTACTGCACTCAACTTGTCCTGTTTTCTTAATGTTAAATTTTAAGTGAACTCAGCCTTGTGTTAAGCATGAACTCTATCACTGAGCTACACTTTCCGCCCTTAATTGGGCTTAATTGGACTCTTACTAATTTATAAGACTTGGTAATTGTAATTGTTGGAATTAGAAATACTCTAATTCCAGAATATAGAGAAACAAAAGACTCAATTTTACAGAACAACAAAAAACCATAAAAAAGAACAAAGCAGCAAAATATGTGGTTAAAAATACAAGCATATACTCCAGCACAGTGGTACAGTGCCTGTAATCCCAGCAGTCTTGGAGGCTAAGGCAGGAGGATCACAAATTCAAGCCCAGCCTGGGCAACTTAGTAACTTAGCAAGACCCTGTCTCCAAAAAAATGGCTGTGGGTATAGCTCAGCGCTGAAGCCCTGGGTTCAACCGCAAGCAGCTCAGAAGGAAATAGGAAGCATACATGTTCACCATCTGTCTTGGTGTCAGCGCCACCTATTTTTATTTGCTTACCAGGCAAGTAAAACTATTTTATCTCCAAACCTGAAAGTGTATATCCTTGAAGAAGCACAAAAAGAGGGATGATTTAATATTTTAGAATATTTTATGAGTATAAATACATTGTATCCTAGTTATATTGCCAGAGTTTGGTTTTAAGGATGTTTGTCATTTTTGCAATGATGTTATACTTGAAAAGCCACTTATACCTTTAAAAACTAATAATAGTTTGGGCTAGGGATTTAGCTCAGTGGTTCCACTGCCTGCCTCGCAAGTGCAAGGACCCAAGTTCGATCCCTGGTACCAAAAACAAAACAAAACAAAACTCAAAAATCTAGTAATAGTTTGATTTCTTTTTTAAATCTTGTGATGATTAAATTGCTACATAGGGCACTGGGTCTAATTCTTTGTTTCATTATGAAATATCTATGCAGAAGAATATATAAAACATGAGAAGTTTAAAGAATTACCCAAGACAGTCAGGATTACCTTTTAGGCTTAGACTTTCTCTACTGTTTCTTTCATCAGTCTTCCCTCCCCTCCCCTCCTCTCCTCTTCCCTCCCTACCCCATCCTCCCCTTCCCACTTCTCTCTCTGTCTTGGCAGTTCTGGGGATTGAACCTAGGGCCTGCATACTGAGCTACATCTCCAAGTCCTTTAAAAATTTCTTTTGTTTTGACTCTTAAGTCACTGGCTGGGCTCAAACTTGTGATATTCCTGCCTCAGCTTCCCAGAGTGCTTGGACTACAGCGGTGCACCACCATGCCTACTTCTTTATTCTTTTAAAAGCAGTTCTAGGGCTGGGGATTTGGCTCAGTGGTGCCACTGCCTGCCTCCCAAGAGCAAGGGCCTGAGTTCGATCCCCAAACAAAATAACAACAACAACAACAATAATGATAATAATAATAATAATAAATAAAAGCAATTCTATCCAATTTATTTCATTTTTAGACAAGTATTATAAAAGCAAGATGCTTGGTAGAAGCTATTCACATCTGCTTGCAGATTCCACAAAATTTGGAAGATGGTTATAGAAGTGAATTACAATTGTGCTAGAAATGTAGGAAAAGTAGAACAAGGTACCAAAATAATAGGGTTTAGTTGGATTAACTGGATTGAGGTGGATATCAGAAAAGATTTCTCAGAGGAAGAAATGAGAGGCTTCTGTAGAGACGAAAGGGAAAGGCAGGAGACTGCAACAGAGTTCTGCCCTGGGGGTGGGAACCAGTTGGAGGAGGGATGCTGTTGTGCCTAGTGCAGGTACCACATCTTCCCTGTGCCCAGAGCTGCATAGTCCTGCGGGGCTCACTCAGGTGAGCTGTGTTTGGGAAAGATCCTGGGATGGCAGCCAGTGGGGCAGGAAGGAGAGGAGCCCATAGCTGGGTGACGTCTTCGTTTCCTGTACTTTGCAGTGGAATCACCACTACTTGACTCTTAGTGACTTATTTTCAAAGAAACTGTTTAAAATAAAACATCCAAGGATATGGTGATATGAACACAAAAGCTATCCAGGTATCAGTAAACTGCAATTTAGAAAACAATGTCATTTCTTAAGATGATATTATAAACCCAAGAAGTTACCAGCTACAGTGATCTCTCTTTGTAGAAATCTTTAAAAAGAAATATTTGTTTATATAAGATCATTCCTATTCTACAAAACAAATTCTTTGAAATCCATTTCAAGAAAAGTGGCTAGACCCAAGACTTTAAAATCACTTCATTTGCTCTGTCGAGACCTTCACATGCATGAGTGGGACTG